AGGTGGGGTCCCCTCGTGTCCCCCCCCTCACCCCGGGGGGGTGCCAGGACCCCTCTGCCGTCCCAACGTCACCCAGGGTCCCCTCTGCCATCCGGGGTGTCCTCGCCGTCCCGTGGGGTTGGGGCACCTCTCGGGATGTCCTCGTGCCACCCGCGGGTCCCCGTATCGTGGGGGGTGTCCCCCCAAGGTGGGGTGTCGGCTCTCCCCGTGCCATCAGCGGTGTCCCTTGTCCCCCAGGGTGTCCCCTTACTCCCCAGGGTGTTCCACTCCACCCACGGTGGCCCACGCCACTCGAGGTGTCCCTTTGCCCATCCAAGGTGTCCCCTCACCCCTCAAGGTGTCCCTTGGCCATCCAAGGCGTCCCCTCGCTCTCCGTGGTGTCCCTTGACCACCTGGGGTGTCCCCTGTCCCTCAGGGTGTCCCCTCGCTTCCTAGGGTGCTCTCTTCCACCCATGGTGGCCCTACGCCACTCATGGTGTCCCTTTGCCCATCCACGGTGTCCCCTCGCTCTCCAGGGCGTCCCCTTGGCTATCCAAGGTGTCTTGCTGCCTAGGACACTCCACCCACGGTGGCCCACGCCACTCGAGGTGTCCCCTCACTCCTCAAGGTGTCCCCTTGCCCGTCCAAGGTGTCCCCTCGCTCTCCAGGGTGTCCCCTTGGCCATCCAAGGTGTCTTGCCGCCTGGGACACTCCACTCATGGTGGCCAACGCCACTCGAGGTGTCCCTTTGGCCATCCAAGGCGTCCCCTCGCTCTCTATGGTGTCCCTTGACCGCCTGGAGTGTCCCCTGTCCCTCAGGGTGTCCCCTGGCTCCCCAGGGTGCTCCCCCCTACACGGACCCAGCAGCCTTGGGTTAACGGTTGCCCTTGATGGTCTCAAAGGTCTTTTCCGACCTGTGGTTCTACGGTGCCCCGCGCCGCTCGAGGTGTCCTTGGCCACCTCTGGTGTCCCCCCCTGGTCCCCAGGGCTGTGTGTGTCCCCCCCCCAACAGCACCCCAGGACCTGACGGGTCTCCTCCTCCTCCTCCTCCTCCTCCCCACAACCCCCGCGCAGGCAACGTGGTGAACGGGACCATCGCCCGGCAGATGGTGGACATGCTGGTGGAGTCCTCCAGCAACGTCACCATGATCCTCAAGTTCTTCGACATGTTCCTGAAGCTGCGGGACATCGTGGCGTCCGACGCCTTCCGCGACTACGTCTCGGACCCGCGGGGCCTCATCTCCAAGAAGGACTTCCAGAAGGCGATGGACAGCCAGAAGCAGTACGAACCCGCCGAGATCCAGTTCCTCCTCTCCTGCTCCGAGGCCGACGAGAACGAGATGATCGACGTGGAGGCCTTCGCCGGCCGCTTCCAGGAGCCCG